TACCCCTCTTCCCCGCCATGGCTTCAACCCCCCGGACCTATGTTCTCTCCTTTACCTCCGTGACAGCTACAGTGTGTATTTAAAAGAAATGGTTGATTTAAATTTTAATTCATATAATAAAAAATAAAATATATTTTCCATTTGTGTTTTTGTTTAAAGCAGAAAATTTACTGCTTTAATTATAAATAAAAACGCTTTGTGTTTTTGTTTAAAGCAGAGAATTTACTGGTTTAATTATAAATAAAAACATTTCGAATTTCGTACACTCTGTTGGGCCGAAAGGTTACCGAGCGCATGCGCACGAGGTCAGAGAGCATGAAGAAGGCATACTCGTAGCACTACATGTAGTCGGTAAGACAGATTTCCTAACTTGAATAGTCGTCAACTTTAACATTAAATATCTCGGTTCGTAGAGCAGAGCGACACTTATTTCTTCAAAATTCTTTTGTTTTACGCAAAAACGCGTCGAATGAACCTAATTTGATCGAAATTGGAGGTGGTGAGTGAATTCTGTATAATTACCTATAATATATCCACAATATATATTTTAGAAAGCACAAAATAGCATATGTAATAATTAATTCAGTATTATCAAAGATATTCTGCTATCTTCTATTATATGTATATATTTTAACAAATTTCATTACATATATTATTCCGTTTGTCTATACCTGATTCATATTCTCTTACTGTTTCATTGTTACATATATATTCATTTTGTGCTTGTACTTCTGGTTCCTCGTCGTGTGCAGGTGCTTCGAACAATTGTAAATCTGTAATGTTAGCTAAATTATGTAAAACACAACATGCGTGTATAACACGTACCATACGTGGAATATTTCTTAGCTTGAAATGATAAAGTTGGCGATATCGTTGTTTTAAAATGGCAAATGTATTTTCGACGATAATTCTGCATGAGCTTAATTTTTGGTTAAAAATTCTTTGTTTTCGTGTTAAATGTCCATTGTCTTTATACGGAACGATTACTTGCAATAAACACGGATATGCACTATCTCCTAAGTAGTAACTATCTAGAACAATATTAATAACATTGTAATACTAATTTTTAGCTTTGTCATTACTCACTTATTTTCCAGATTGAACAAACCTCCACATATTTCACGTAAGTCGTTAAATAATGATGAATTTTTAAATACTCGGGCATCATGGACAGAACCTGGGTATCCAATGAAGACATTTAAAAATTTCAATTTGTGATTAACCGTCGCTTGAATGTGCAATGAAATATATTGCTTGCGATTAATGTAAGAATCGGCATCTTCCACTAGTTTGTCGATTCTGATATGAGAACCATCTATGGCACCTATATAAGTACATATACATATATGTATATATAGCATTTATAATAAATCAGTATAAATAAGCTTATTTA